ATTATCATTTAAATTTGAATAAGGGATTAGATAATTTCCAGACAAGCAAAAGTTGAGGGGATTTGCCAGCCACAAACCACCTCTACAGAATATTTTAAAGGGACTGTTCTACATGTAAGCACTCCTAAAGCTAAATAGATGTCACCAGTGAAAACAAAATCACACCAAAGAAAGCAGACCAAACAAATATTAACTAAAGGCAAGAAATAAAATCAACTATCCACAAAAGCAGTCAAAGGAAACACAAAAGAGCACAGAATACAACACATAACATATGAAGAATGGAGGAAAAATAAGAAGGGAGAGAAATAAAAAATCATCAGAATGTATTTATAATAGCTTAATAAGAGAGTTAAGTTAGACAGTTAGATAGTAAAGAAGCAACCCTTAAATATTTTGTAACCACATATCTAAAGCATGCAATAGCAATAAGTACATATATATTGATAATCACACTAAATGTAAATGGAATGAATGCAGAAATCAAAGGACAAAGAGTAATAAAATGGATACAAAAGTAAGACCCATCTATATGCTGCTTACAAGAGACTCACCTCAAACCAAAACATACACAGACTAAAAGTGAAGGGATGGAAAAAGATATTTCATGAAAAAAATTGGGAAAAAAAAGCAGGTGTTGCAGCACTTGTATCAGACAAAATAGACTACAAAAAAAAGAAATTAACAAGAGATAAAGAAGGACATTACATAATGATAAAGGGGTCTGTCCAACAAGAAGATATAACCATTATAAATATATATGCACCCAACACAGGAGCAACAAATACTAACATGCAAAACAAATACTAACAGAACTAAAGGAGGAAATATAATGCAATGCATTCATTTTAGGAGACTTCAACAAACAATCACTCCAAAGGAGAGATCCACCAGACAGAAAATAAGGACACAGAGGCACCGAACAACACACTAGGACAGATGGACTTAAAAGACATCTACAGAACTCTACATCCAAAAGCAACAGGACACATACTCTTCTCAAGTGCACATGGAACATTTTCCAGAATAGACCACATACTAGGCCACAAAAAGAGCCTCAATAAATTCAAAATGATTGAAATTTTATCAACCAACATTTCAGATCACAAAGGTATAAAAGTAGAAATAAATTGTTCATAGAAAATACAAAGACTCACAAACACATGGAGGCCTAATAACATGCTCCTAAATAATCAATGGATCAATGACCAAATTAAAACAGAGATCAAGCAATATATGGAAACAAATGACAACAACAGCACAATGCCCCAACTTCTGTGGGACGCAGCAAAGGCAGCTCTAAGAGGAAAGTATGTAGCAATCTGGGCATATTTAAAGAAGGAAGAACAATCCCAAATGAATAGTCTAAATTCACAATTATTGAAACTGGAAAAAGAAGAACAAATGAGCCCAAAGTAAGCAGAAGGAGGGACATAATAAAGACCAGAGAAGAAATAAATAGAGAAGAATAAAACAATAGAAAAAAATCAATGAAACCAAAGCTGTTTCTTTGAGTAAATAAACAAAATATATAAACCTCTAACCAGACTTCTTAAGAGAAAAAGGGAATCTGCACACATAAACAGAATCAGAAATGAGAAAGGAAAAAGTACTATGGACCCCAAATAAATACAAAGAATTATTAGAGAATACTATGAAAATCTGTATGTTAACAAGCTGGACAACCTAGAAAAAATGCACAACTTCCTAGAAAAATATAACCTTCCAAGGCAGACCAAGGAAGAAACAGAAAATATAAAAAGACAAATTATCAACAATAAAATTGAATCAGTAATAAAAAATTTACCCAAGAACAAAACTCCTGGGCCAGATGGTTTCACCACTGAATTGTATCAGACATAATGCCCATTCTCCTTAAAGTTTTCCAAAAAATAGAAGAGGAGGGAATACTTCCAAATTAATTCTATGAAGCCAGCATCACTCTAATACCAAAACCAGGTAAAAACCACACAAAAACAGAAAATTACCAACTAATATCCCTGATGAGCATAGATGCAAAAATACTCAACAAAATATTAGCAAACCAAATTCAAAAATACATCAAAAGGATCATACATGATCAACTGGGATTCATCTCAGGGATGCAAGGATGATACAACATTAGAAAATCCATCAACATCATCCACCACATCAACAAAAAGAAGAACAAAAACCACATGATCTAGATTTTGAAAAAGCATTTGACAAAATTCAACATCCATTCATAATATAAACTCTGAACAAAATGGGTATAGAAGGGAACTACCTCAACATAATAAAGTCCATATATGACAAACCCACAGCCAACATCATCCTGAACAGAGAGAAGCTGAAAGCTATTCACCTAAGATCAGGAACAAGACAGAGATGCATATTCCCCCACTGCTGTTCAACATAGTACTGGAGGTCCTAGCCACAACAATCAGACAAAACAAAGAAATAAAAGGAATCCAGATTGGTAAAGAATTCAAACTGTCACTATTTGCAGATGACATGATATTTTACATAAAAAAACCCTAAAGACTCCACTGCAAAACTACTAGAACTAATATCAGAATTGAGCAAAGTTGCAGGATACAAAATTAATACACAGAAGTCTGTTGCTTTTCTATACACTAATGATGAACTAGCAGAAAGAGAAATCAGGAAAACAATTCCATTCACAATTGCATCAAAAAGAATAAAATACTTAGGAATAAACCTAACCAAGGAATTGAAAGATCTATACTTTGAAAATTACAAGACACTCTTAAAAGAAATTAAAGAGGACACTAACAAATGGAAACTCATCCCATGCTCTTGGCTAGGAAGAATCCTGCCTAAAGCAATCTGCAGATTCAATGCGATCCCTATCAAAATACTAACAGCATTCTTTGACAAACTGGAACAAATAGTTCTAAAATTCATATGAAACTACAAAAGACCCCAAATAGCCAAAGCAATCCTGAGAAGGAAGAATGAATCAGGTGGGATCTCACTTCCCAACTTCAAGCTCTACTACAACGATACAATAATGAAGTAAATTTGGTACTGGCAAAGAACAGACCCATAGATCAGTGGAACAGAATAGAGTCCAGATATTAAACCAAACATATATAGTCAATTAATGTATGATAAAGGTGCCATGTATATACAGTGATGAAATGACAGCCTCTTCAACAGCTGGTGTTCACAAAACTGGACAGCTATATGCAAGAGAATGAAACTGTATCATTGTCCAACCCCATACACAAAAGCAAATTTGAAATGGATCAAAGACGTGAATGTAAGTCATGAAACCATAAAACTCTTAGAAAAAAATATAGACAAAAATCTCTTAGACATAAACCTGACCAACTTCTTCATGAACATATCTCCCTGGGCAAGGGAACAAAAGCAAAAATGAACAAGTGGTACTATATCAAGCTGAAATGCTTCTGTACATCAAAGGACACCATCCATAGAACAAAAAGACATCCTACAGTATGGGAGAGTTTATTCATACATGACATATCCAATAATGGGTTAATATTCAAAATATATAAAGAGCTCACCCACCTCAACAAACAAAAACCAAACAATCCAATTAAAAAATGGGCAGAGGATCAAACAGACACTTCTCTAAAGAAGAAATCCAGATGGGCAACAGGCATGTGAAAAGATGCTACTCATTGCTAATCATCAGAGAAATGCAAATTAAAATCACCATGAGATATCACTTCACACCAGTAAGGATGATCACCATCCAAAAGACAAACAACAACAAATGTTGGTGAGGTTGTGCAGAAAGGGGAACTCTCCTACACTGCTGGTGGGAATGTAAATTTGTTCAACCTTTGTGGATAGCATATGGAGGTTCCTCAAAATACTAAAAATAGAAATCCCATTTGACCCAGGAATTCTACATCTAGGAATTTACCCTGAGAATGCAGGAGCCCAGTTTGAAAAGGACAGATGCACCCCTATGTTTATTGCAGCACTATTTACAATAGCCAAGAAATGGAAGCAACCTAAGTGTCCATCAGTAGATGAATGTATAGAGAAGATGTGGTATGTATACACAATGGAATATTATTCAGCCATAAGAAGAAAACAAATCCTACCATTTGCAACAACCTGGATGGAGCTAGAGGGTATTATGCTCAGTAACATAAGCCAGGTGGAAAAATACAAGTATCAGATGATTTCTCTCATCTGTGGAGTATAAGAACAAAGAAAAAACTGAAGGAACAAAACAGCAGCAGACTCACAGAACCCGAGTCAACTAACAGTTACCAAAGGGAAAAGGACTGGGGAGGATGGGTGGGAAGGAAGGTATAAGGGGGCAAAAGGGGCATTACGATTAGCAAACATAACATGGGGGGGCCACGGGAAGGGCTGTACCTCACAGAGAAGACACGTAGTGATTCTATAGCATCTTACTACACTGATGGACAGTGACTCTAATGGGGTATGTGGTGGGGTCTTAATGATGGGGGGAGTTTAGTAACCATAATGATGCCCATGTAATTGTAGATTAATGATACCAAAATAATAATTTTAAAAAGTTATGTTTCTTGGGGATATATTGCCATGCCATTTACAGACACTTGCCTGAAACTCTGGAATTGGGAGTATCATACTGTGAAGGAGAAAAAAGACACATATCTGATATGTGGATATTAAACTGTCTAGAAAAATGTCCTATTGGGGAGAAATTACTCCAAAGTGAAATAGTTATCAATTTTGTAACATTCTGTAGGCCATGCTTTTCTACTAGTATAGGTGAATTCTTATAAATAATTGATTCATCTTTAAAGACGGCAAGGCACGTTTATGGTGCTATTCTATTATAAAATGCATTCATTCAGTTAAAAAGAAATGTGAGAGTTCCACACGCGGCGGCCGCCGCCGCCTCCATCTGTCACCTCCCCTCCAGCCACCCATTGGCCCTGCCCCACCACCTGACTCCTTGAGGGGGCCGCTTCACAGCCCTGCTGCCGTGCTGCTCCGTTCTCCCTGTCGTGGGCCTCTCCCTCCACATGGATCTGGTCAGAGTGGCATTGCCTGAGCCCAGGTTGGCCATGCCCTGGGGACCCAGCAAATGTCCATGGGGTACTCCTCAAAATACAGTGTCTTGTTCTCTGGCTGATGTAATGAGTGAACAGTTGGCTAAAGAATTGCAGTTAGAAGAAGAAGCTGCTGCTTTTCCTGAAGCTACTGTTGCTGAAGGACCATTTATTACTGGAGAAAATATTGACACTTACAGCGACCTAATGCTGTCACAGATGCTACAGATGAAATTTGACAGAATGTGATGCACAGCTTAGGCACGAAGAAAAAAAATTCAATGGAGATAGCAAAGTTTCCATTTCCTTTGAAAATTACCGAAAAGTGCATCCTTATGAAGACAGTGATAGCTCAGAAGAAGAGGTTGACTGGCAGGATACTTATGATGCCCCCTAAATACCAGAAAAACCAATTCCTATCCCGAAAAAGGGTTTTATTGGAAAAGTAAAAGACATCATCACCAAGCATGATGAAGTAGTATGTGGGAGAAAGAATACATCCAGAATGGAAAATTTTGCACCTGGGTTTCAGGTAGGAGATGGAATTGGAATGGATTTAAAACTAACAAACCATGTTTTCAATGCTTTAAAACAACATGCCTACTCAGAAGAACATCGAAGTGCCCACCTCCATGAAAAAAAAAGAGCATTCGATTGCAGAAAAGGCAGTTGATCCTAAGACACATTTACTTATGTATAAAATGGTCAACTCTGGAATGTTGGATACAATCACTGGCTGTATTAGTATAGGAAAGGAATCTGTTGTCTTTCATATATATGGAGGGAGCTTGGAGGAGGAAAAGGAAGATAGTAAAGTTGTACCTACAGAATGTGCCATCAAGGTATTTAAAACAACTCTTAATGAGTTTAAGAATTGTGACAAATATATTAAAGATGATTTCAGGTTTAAAGATCGGTTCAGTAAACTAAATTCACGTAAGATCATCCACATGTGGGCAGAAAAATAAATGCACAATCTCACAAGAATGCAGAGAGCTGGAATTCCTTGTCCAACAGTTGTACTGCTCAAGAAACACATTTTAGTTATGTCCTTTATTGGCCACGATCAAGTTCCAGCTCCTAAATTGAAAGAAGTGAAGCTCAGTAGTGAAGAAATGAAAGAAGCCTACTACCAAATTCTTCATTTGATGCAGCAGTTGTATAACAAATGTGCACTTGTCCATGCTGACCTTAGTGAGTATAACATGCTGTGGCATGCTGGAAGGTCTAAAATTTTAATATTAAAAAAAAAAGAAATGTGGTAAAATGATGGTGGTTCTTTGGGAAACCTTTAAATCTCTTAGTATGCAGGAGTAAGTTTAAGGAAGTAGTCTAACATTAAGAATTAGGAAAATTTTATAATTATTAGTTCTTCCAAACCCCAAATTTTCCTTTATGATCATATAGGAGACACAACTGCAGATGCACAGATGTAAAAATACACACACACACACACACACACACACGTTTGTGAACAGTCAAATGATTGGAACTGATGTTTTTTAGAACTTCAGTGAACATTTTAATATATATCTAAGTTATAATTATTGATGCACCTTATATTTAAAGGGGTAGACCTATAGTTTGTAGTGACCAGCTCTACTGTTCAAGATATCTAGAGTAAGAGCAAAGAAAGAGAGTAACAAATTTTAAGTACCAACAATAACATTCGGGATGATGGATTTCCTGTTAAACTGAAATGATATTTCAAAAGACTGCTGTTCTTAAAATATGTAATTAGTACCTTCATTAAATTTTTATATATGAGGTAAAAGAAAAATATTTTTGTGGTTATGATATTAAATTACTATTTTAGTAGAATGTATACTTCTAGGGATCACTCATTGCCTCCTTAGGCCTGTAAGGCAGAGAAATCCAATGCAAGAGTCTTTCTAACTGAAAGCAGTAGAATAATCCAAGGTGGTCTGTACATAAAATTTGTTCAGAACAATTAAATGGAACTGAATTAAATTCTAATGAACTCATTTTTTAAAAATTATTCTTTATATTTATGTAGTATCTGGGTTATGGGTGCAAAACTGGATAATCCAATTTGTCTGCAACAAACAAGAAAAGAATAGGGAGTAAGTGACATATACCTTAAGGTTCATTTATCATGTACACAGAAATGATAAGGGGAAGAAAAGCCCCAATTATGATGGGAAAGCTCTGTAATAATAGAAAATGTATCCACCACATGGATTTCCTTTAAATGAATGTGAGAAACAATAAAGTAAATTTGCTGGTTTAGGATTGCAAGCAGATGGCTTATGTTACATTTTCAAAGAGAGGTATCTGAAAATTGGAGTTATTGAAAACCATAATATATACTCTCCTTCTTCATACATATAAGGAAGTAGAAGAAATTCTTGTAAGGGGTCAGTGCATCTCTAAGTGAAAGTTAAAACTTGGAAAAATATCAATGGCATCCAAGGGCATAGATGAGAAGTCTGTGGAAGACTGAATAATAGCATTGCAAATATGTCCACATCCTAATCCTGAGAACTTGTGAAGATGTTAGCAAAAGGGACTTTGAAGATGTCATTAAATTAAGAACCTGGAGATGAATGTATTTATCTGGGAAGAACCAATATTATGACAAGACTCCTTTTAAAAGGGAGGCAAAAAGGTAAAAAACAGAAGGTGATATGACAAAGGAAGCAGAGGGAGACAGAGAGAGACAGAGGGAAATTGAATAATGCTATACTGCTGGATTTGGAGATGGAGGAACAAGCCACGAGCAAAGGAATGTGAGGAACCTCTAGAAACTTGAAAGGCAAGAACTAATGGCAAAGGCAAACTTCTCTAGAACCTCCAAAAGAAACCAGCCCTGCTGGCACCTTGACATTAGCTCAGTGAGACTAATTCGGGGTTTCTGATATCTAGAATATAACATAATAAATTTGTGCTGATTTAAGCCACTAAGTTTGTGGTAATTTGTTGTAGCAGGTACAGGAGAGTTTAAATCTTGGCTTTACAATTTATTTATTTATTTATTTATTCAACTGTCCATCTCCCCATTATTCTTTTTTTTAATTCAGGCATAATTGACATAACATTATATTAGTTTCTTATGTACAGTGAAATGACTGGATATTTGTATGTATTGCAAAATGATCACGGTAAGTGTAGTTATTTACTACTTATTAATTGTGTAACCTTGGGTAGATTGTTTAACCTCCCTGTACATGTTCCTTGTCTTTAAAATTATAGTCATAATAGTATGCCTAGTTGGCTTGCCTGAGGATTTCAGGGTCAGGCAAGTTCACTATGGAGTCAATGATACTGAGAAATGACAGTGGAATGTTCTTGGGGTAAAAGGGTTTATACCAGGCTTTATTCTCCTGGCAGTAGGTGGAGCACTAGAAATCATGTCTTCATCCAGCAGTCTGCAGGTCTGTAATCTATGGCCCATCTCTGCCTCCACCCAGAGCACTGAGCAGAGCTCTGTATATAGTGACTCAGTCAATGATAGCTTATTGCCTATGGACGTGGAAGTTTTAGCCTCACAGTAGGGCAATTACATTATTACATACTTTAGTGTCAGGTGAGGATCCTGCCTTGAAACTTCCATTATCTCCACCCTAGCTCATCGAGCAGTTGTAAAGATTAAGTAATATGTAGATCTGGGTTTACAATTCTCTCTCTGCCAAATACTGGCTATAGAATGATCTCAGTAAGTTTATTTAACTTCTTCGAGCCTCATTTTCCTTCTCTGTAAAATGGGCATTGTTGTCAGTGTCTTGCCAATGAATTTCAGCTCCTGGCAAATTCGCTATGGATTCAGTGTGACCAAAGAAATGACAGTAGAATGTTCTTGGGGTGAAAGGGTTTGTTACCCAGCTTGTTCTCCTGGCAGTAGGTCGACCACTAGGACCTCTGCCTCTGCCCAGACAACTGGGCTGAGCTCCCTATACAGTGCAAAAATAGCTTATTGCCTACGGGTGTGCAAGCAGTAGCCTAGCAACAGGCCAGTTACATCATCAAGTGGTTTAAGTTCAGTGTGGATCCTGGCCATAGGAACCCCAACTGCCCCACACTCCACACCTCCAGTATTCTTGCCTTAGAATCTACACACTCTCAATCTTCTGCAATGGTCCCTGTGCAAGAAAGCTGAAGCACTGTAACTAGATTCCACAGCAGCAACAGAGGATAACAACATTTTAGAGATAATAACAAAAATTAAGATACAACAAGATTTTGATACAGGTAAGAAAAATTATAATAATCTTCAAGCCAGAGGAGTTTCCCAATCCACAAAGATGTTAGGGGTGATAAGACACATGTTTTAATGACACCAACATAGGCAAATCTTGTCCATCAGGTAGGATGCATGCAAGAGAGTGGTCCTGTGATAGGACTGTAGCAGGAAGGGGGTCCCGTCCAGGTCTAGTATACCATAATTTCACTCCTCTCCTTATGGGGGTTATTGAAGGGTCTATATATAGTGCTACTGGAGGTGCATGCACTGGCCATAATGATAAAACAAAACTCTCTGGTAAGATGCTCCTACATTCTGGCTGTTCAGGATATACTACTGCAATCTTTGGGGTCCACCCTGCTGTTATTCCAGGAATACACAGGAGGACAGCTTCCAGGCCTTCTCCCCAAAGTGCCAGGAGAGTCAGCCATTATTGGTCCATGTGTTGAAAGGTCCAAGGCCACATTCACTCAATGGAGTCTCCAGGGTTCAGTGCAGTTGGTTCTGGCAGCAAGATACTATTCTGGTAGCCAAACTTTGGCTTCAGCAATTCTCCCTTGGCTTGTACTTGCAGTTGTATAGGGGAGACAACCATATGTGTTAACATGTCTATAGTGCTCAGGGCTCCCTTTCAGTGTCTCTCATTCAAATGCCATAGCATGGTCCATAGGTGGACAGACCATCCCGGCAGACTATTGGAGTCTGACTTAGTCCGGAATTTAACAAGCCATTATGCCTCTCTATCATGCCTGCTGCAGTAGGATTGTATGGCACATGAAACTTCCATTTGATTCCCAGCTGTCACAACCATTCCTGCAGCACACGTCCAGTAAAATGGGTGCCCTGATCACTCTTAATTACCTGTGGTTGGCTAAGGGTGGCAAAGAGACACTCCAGGACTCTTTTGGTTGTCTGCTGGTATGCACAATGGGTAGAAAAAGCAACCAGAATCCAGTAGTACCTGTGTCCATACAAGTCATGACATATCAGTATCCTTCTGACACAGGTAGAGGCCTAATATAGTCTACATGCCACCTGATGAGGGGTACAGGCCCCTTAGCTATTGTCCCATGTTGCTGTGGAATTCAGTGTAAGTCCCTTTTAGAGCATATAACACACTCCTGCTGGGCTCTACTAACTTCAAAGATCAAAGGCAAGCCCCATCAATGGGATACAGCTCACATTGTCTTTTGCCCCTCATGCAACAAACGCTGATGTAACCATTGGACTACATCAGAGGCAGGCTTTCCTTCTAACCAAGGTATCTGGGCCTATTTATCTGTCTCATCATTTCCTGGGGATGCCAGTGGCAAATGACCTGTCACATGGTATACTGTAATTCTTTTAGTCTGACCACAGACCCATAAGTCTTGCCACAATTCTTACCCCCAAAGGGGTCAGTGACCAACCAGCCAGTTGGCATGGTACCAACTTGGTAGCCACAGGATCAAGCCCTGATAGATAGCCCAGCTGTCAGTGCAGACAGCCATAGGGGAGGGATCCTGGCTGATCACAAGCCACAGAGCTCACAACTCTGCCCATTGACTGTTCTTCCCCTCACCATCTTCCATCTATATTGTCTCAGTCTTAGGATGGAAAACTATGGCCCTCCATTTTGGGGGCTGCCCACAGCTGGAGCCATCTGGGTATCATGTATCTTAGGGTATAGGGGCTCTTCCTTCCCAATAGGGACTCTCTGCTACTAATAGGTCAAAAACAAGTTCTTCCTGCTTTTCACTAGTATATATCACTGGCCCCAATAAGCGCTGGAGTTCCTCACTCAAGGGGCTACTAGAGAGGGCAGAACACTGCTGTAGGTAAGCACCCCATGTGGCTAGTGTGGGTGTTTGTGCCACACGACTCCTTAGCTTTTGGGTCCAGTCTTGTACCCACCCCAAGATGGGATAGGTGGTTATTACCTTTACCTGGACCATTCCAGTGATGGGGTCTGTAGCCAGCAAGGCATGATACATGGCAGCCAGTTGTTTTTCTATCAAATTGTATCATACCTCTGCCCCTTTCCAGAGTTGTGAACAGTATCCAATAAGTTTGTGAGTTCATTCA